GGGTAAAAGACTACTGGACGATCTTTCGTCGATGGAACACATGGAGTGCATGGTAAGCAGTTCGTGGAGACTAAATTGTTTTGTTTTTTTAGTTTAAGTTTGAGTTTTGCGGCACTTACAACATGATAAGGTCATTTAAGTGCCGAAGATTAGAGGTTACAAGAGAATAACGAAAAGAAAAAAGAAGGAGAGATAAAGACGATAAATGTTTGATAGGAAAGAAGTAGCAAACCACACCAGAGCACCCGCCAACCACCCACACTAAATTGTTGTTGGGGCAAAGTCCTGGATATATATAATTCTTTTCTCTCCATCCGTTATTTCTGTTTATCGTTCTTTCTTTTCCCAGCACTAAATGACTGTTATTGTCCCGATGTGCTTCTCTTTACTTAATCTCAACCTTAAACTACAATTTTAGTGGCACTGACCTTTGGGTCATTTTTTAAAGAAGAAACCACCTACTCTTCTGTCATAAAACATTAAACGAAGATAGCATCCTCAAAATTTAAACGAAGATAGCATCATCAAAACTAAAACGAAGATAGCATCCTCAAAATTTAAACGAATATAGCATTCAATATTCCTAAGAACTAAAAGGCTTTTTTTTCTCTCCCCTTGCAGGTTACAGAACGCCATTTATCGGCGCCATCGACTCGGCAGTTCCCTGCTCTGTGATGATAGACACTGCGCGGAAACTAAGGGAGATCACTTCAGACGCTCAAGGGCTAGGCCTTAATGTGAGTACACTTAACTTGGAATACAATCGAACTGTCTAACCCGGAAATTTATTATTATGCGAGAAGGGAAGTGGTTGTTTTTGAACAGGTTATCATCATACACAGTGTCATTATAATGTAAAACACACGTACATAAGGGGAGAAATGGGAAATGGTCGTTTGTGAAGATGATTGTCTTATACAGGTGGTCATTCGAGCAGGTACGACTGAAGTTGTCGAACCTGCTTTACCGGTCACGTCCTGTCCAGATGGCCACCTGCCTCAGACAATCTTTTGTACAAAAGAAAACTTCCCACTCCCCCCTTGTATCTTTTTTCTTACTATGGGGATACTGTTTAAAACGTTCATCAATCTGTCTTTACTTTTTACTTTAGTTTTCTGATCCAGCGGCCATTTGAGTTCTAGTTCTAGTCCTGCATTAATCTGTCTAAGACACCTGATTTTGTCCTTGACAATGGGTACTTGTCTCTGTCTGTTTAGACTGACCTTGTTTTGTTTGGATTTTTTTTTTTTT